CGACGGGAAGAAAGGTGGTATCGGAGAGAAGAAGACATTGGAGGTGGACGCCGTGATCGGTGCCGACGGAGCCAATTCTCGCGTCGCCAAGGCCATTGACGCCGGCGATTACGACTACGCCATCGCATTCCAGGTAAATCGATTTCTGGATTTAGGGCTTAATGTAGGAGAAATTATGGAGAGGCTAGGATCAAAATAGATTGAACTGTGCTGAATTAGAGAATTGGGGGTTTGTAATTTCATTTCAGGAGAGAATCAAGATCCCCGACGACAAAATGGTGTACTACGAGAATCTTGCTGAGATGTACGTAGGTGACGACGTATCGCCGGATTTCTACGGTTGGGTGTTCCCGAAATGCGACCACGTGGCGGTCGGCACCGGCACAGTGACTCACAAAGCCGACATCAAGAAGTTTCAAATAGCCACACGAAACAGAGCGAAGGACAAGATCTTAGGCGGCAAGATCATCCGAGTTGAAGCACATCCAATCCCAGAACACCCTCGTCCACGGCGGCTGGCTGGGAGAGTGGCACTGGTGGGCGATGCAGCTGGGTATGTGACGAAATGCTCAGGCGAGGGCATATACTTCGCAGCAAAGAGCGGGCGAATGTGCGCGGAGGCCATCGTGGAGGGGTCGGAGAATGGGAAGAGAATGGTGGAGGAATCGGACCTGAGGAAGTACTTGGAGAAGTGGGATAAAACTTACTGGCCGACGTACAAAGTTCTGGACGTGTTGCAGAAGGTGTTTTACAGGTCGAATCCGGCGAGGGAAGCTTTTGTGGAGATGTGCGCGGATGAGTATGTGCAGAAGATGACATTCGACAGCTACTTGTACAAGAAAGTGGTGCCTGGGAATCCATTGGAGGACTTGAAATTGGCTGTCAATACAATTGGAAGCTTGGTGAGAGCCAATGCTCTGAGGAGGGAGATGGACAAAGTTAGTCTATAAGATCATGAATTCAAGCATACCTTTTTTTTGTAGATGGGATGAAGCTTAACGTTGTTTAATGTAGATCTGCCTTTGATTCTTGTTTAATTATATAAGATTATGCAAATCCAATTATTAAGTAGAACAATGTCATTTTCAGGCAATTTTCTTAAGTAATTTTTCCTTTTCCCAATCTCTAATCAACTATGATGCCAAGGACATGGGTCATAACCAACAAGCGGCTATGGATTTAAGTTAATTGGACACGAGACGTTAGTGAAATGTCCGGTCTAAGCTACCGTTAGTATATATTGTACTGTTTGGACTTTCCCTTTTCGAGATTCCTCTCGAGGTTTTTAAAATGCGTTGCTAGGGAGAGATTTCCACGCTCTAATAAAGAATGCTTCGTTCTTCTCCCCAACCGATAACCATAGTATCAACTCTACACCATTCCTATGCCTCATGACCTGTGTAGATGATCCATGACACATACGTGTGTCATGGTAAGGACGACCGTTGCTATACGAGTGTTTTGGGCAAGGCCAATGTTGGGTAGCACGAATATCGAGATGTAAATCGGTAATTAACTCTAAAAAGTGGTTTAATCTAAGCTAGTAGTATATTGAGTGAATGGGTAATTAACACTAAAAAGTGGTTTAATCTAAGCTATGTATATAATTAGCAGTAAATGATATTAGTTTATTGAGGGAGAGGAGGGGTTTATGAAGAAGGGAATGGACAATCGGGACCGTCGAAAGGATGAGAGAAGTAACGGTTGATATTGGTGGGGATAGAAACGCTTGAAAAAGGCACTACATTCGCATTGCGGCGGTGTATTCGGTATACACAAGGACAAAGGGAAGCAATATATACCTTCGCTGTTCAAAAGGAATTGCTATGTCCCAAGGCTCTCCGGCGGAGGATTCTACGTCCCAACCCTTTTGAGCCTCATAAAATCTTCACTCGCGCCCATTTTCCTCTTCCATTTTGAGCTATTTCTTTTTCTGGATTTCAAGGTTCGATTTCTCTATTTAGTTTTTTTCCTCTCGATTTCTTAGGAATATGGAACAGTCGGTGCTTTGTTGAATGTTGATTCCTTATTTAGCTTGTTTCGGTTGTTTCTTTCACCATCTTTTTTTTGAAGTTGTGGGTTCCGTAGATCGGTTGTTTCTGTTCATTTCAGATGTTCTGGATCTGACTGTTCTCAATTCTTGCGTTATATATTTGTTTCTGTAAGCTCATTTCTCTATCTTAGTTAATTTTGAAGCTGGGATTTCGATAAGGAATTGAAGCTAATGATTTGGGATTTAATCCCTGAAAATCTTCACATGAATTGGGTGGAGTTGTTTTTCTTTTACAAGGGGGCATCTGAAAAGATGTGCCTTTGACGAACTCCCATCTTTCTTGTGATATTCGTGTTGCTTTCTCTTTTGTGAACAAAAAACTGATGGGCCACAAGTTTGCATGAACAATCAAGGCGCTTTTCTTAATTTGTCGTGTTTGATAGCTAAAAGAAACTGATGAATTGCATTCGAGTGGTATATGGCTCCTAGTGTTCTTGCATATTTTGCTGATATAACTTCATAAATCTGGCCTTTAATTTGTACTTTGTTCATAAACTTGTAAAGTAACAAACTTCCATTATGTTTACTAATACCTATTTTTTGAATCATCTGGAAATCTGGTTGGAAACTATTGTGAGATCTCACATCCGTTGGAGAGGGGAACGAAACACTCATTGTAAGAGTGTGGAAACTTCCCCTAACGGACGCGTTTTAAAACCGTAAGGAGAAGTCCGGAAGGGAAAGCCCAAAAAGGACAATATCTGTTAGAGGTGGGCTTGGGCTGTTACAAATGGTATTAGAGCCACACACCAAGAAATGTGCCCCCAAGGGGAGTGGATTGTGAGATCTCGAAACACTCCTTATAAGGGTGTGGAAGCCTCTCCCTAATGGATATGTTTTAAAACCTTGAGGGGAAGCCTAGAAGGGAAAGCCTAAAGAGGACAATACCTGCTAGTGGTGGGCTTGGGCGGCTACATCTATCTACTCCTAGTTTTTGTATTACATCTCTTGCTGGTCTTTCTTTCTCACTTGAATGTTTCATTATTGCCTTCTTTCCTTTTATGGTCAACTATAACATGTATCAGGTTACTGTTGTTGGTGATATTCGTACTCTTTTTCTGAAGGAATCATCTGATTTTCTTGTTGTTCTTTATGGCACAAACTTGTTAGTTTTCGTATCCACCATTGGGAAGTTGGAGTGGTTGTCGTTGTTTTTTATAGTGTTGAGGTATATATTCATTAGAGACCTCTTAGGGAGTTTAGAAATTATTGTTTTGTATTCTTGATGAACACCAGATCATGAAAATGACTGACGCTTCCTGCCTCTCCCCTTTCTTTAACAGAGTCAGATATGGCAGCAACTTCCGCAACTATTTTGTCTATTGGAACAAATGCATCACTTAATACTAAACTCAACTCATTTTCCCAGTCAAAGTCTGCTAGCTTAAGGATCAATTCACAAGAGACTTTTAAGAGCTTCTGTGGCCTCAAGGCTGCTTCATCTCTTGGTTGTGAATCAGAGTCGTCTTTCCTAGGGAAACACAGCACTGCCGCTTTATGGCGTCGTCACGCTACCTCATCTCAAAATGTGAACCAGAATGTATACAAAAAACTTCAACCTCAAGCGTCTTACAAGGTTGCTGTTCTTGGCGCTGCTGGAGGGATAGGTCAACCTCTGTCGCTTCTCATCAAGATGTCTCCATTAGTTTCCACCTTGAACCTCTATGATATTGCAAATGTCAAGGGTGTTGCTGCTGATATTAGCCACTGCAACACTCCCTCGAAAGTTCAGGATTTCACAGGACCTTCTGAATTAGGCAATGCCTTGAAAGGTGTAGATGTTGTTGTCATACCTGCTGGGGTTCCAAGAAAGCCCGGTATGACTCGTGATGACCTATTCAATATTAATGCTGGCATAGTTAAGAGTTTGGTTGAGGCTGTTGCTGATAACTGTCCTGATGCCTTCATTCATATCATCAGCAACCCTGTGAACTCCACTGTGCCAATAGCAGCTGAAGTTCTGAAGAAGAAGGGCGTGTATGATCCAAAGAAGCTTTTCGGAGTTACTACATTGGATGTTGTCCGGGCAAACACTTTTGTTGCTGAAAGGAAGAACCTTAAGCTGATTGACGTCGATGTCCCTGTCATCGGGGGACATGCGGGTATAACAATCCTTCCCTTGCTGTCAAAGACAAGACCTTCAGCGAGCTTTACAGACGATGAAATTCAGGAACTAACTGTTAGAATTCAAAATGCGGGAACTGAAGTCGTGGAAGCAAAGGCAGGAGCTGGATCGGCTACCCTTTCAATGGCATACGCTGCAGCAAGATTTGTCGAATCATCTCTTCGTGCTTTGGATGGAGACAGTGATGTATATGAGTGCTCTTTCGTGCAGTCTGATCTAACCGATCTTCCCTTCTTTGCATCGAGGGTTAAGCTCGGGAGGCAAGGAATTGAAGCCTTTGTAAAATCTGAGCTCCAGGGATTGTCTGAGTACGAGCAGAAAGCTCTTGAAGCTCTAAAGACAGAACTGAAAGCAAGCATTGAGAAGGGCATTAGTTTTGCTCATAAGGAAGCTGTGGCTGCTTAATACCCTGTTTTTTCATAACGTGGTTGGAGAGTTGCAATGAATCCTAAGCATCAGTTTGCGGCTTTTCTTTTTGTTTAGTAGTTTGTATGTTTTCATGTTTACCCCATCTGGTGGAGAACTTGTGTTGCAGACATTTACTGCTGCCGTAGATTATCAGAAGAATGTAATAATTTGCTAGTAATTGAAAATTTTGTAATAACATACGGTTGTTTCGACTGTGCACTTCAAATGACATTTCAGCTTCATGCATAACCTGCAATCTGAGTGCACCTCCAAGTTGATAGACTCGGCCGTGCTGTGGTCAAGCATTCCATCAGGACCCAAAGAGATATGCATCCAGAATTTAGACAAAGATTTGGAATCCAAGTTCATCATTTGATCAACATTTTCTTTCAATTTGTTCATTGAACTCCAGGCTCCACAGGTTTAATAGATGTAAAGAGGGAGCGATGACAACCTTAACCACAAGAGAGACATAAGAGATGACAACCATAACCACAAGAGAGACATAAGAGAGAGTGAGGGTGGAAAAGGAGAGGAAAGATGAAATGAGACGGGAGGAGAGATTACAAGGTCATTAGAGTGGGCTTGGGCCGTTACAAATGGTATTTGGTGTGTCAGCATTCTTCTTCCTAGCAGTCGGGTTTTATCCTCGAAGTGGACAACTCACGATGAAACCCTGAATTGAAATTGATGTTGGACAATATCATACTCTGGAGGTTTTAGTACAGCAACAGGCTGCCACCAGTGAATGAAAATGAGCAATCCGCCAACAGATACTTCATTTCTTCATCTTCTTCTTCTTCATCATCATCCTGATGAACCCTGGTGGCTGAGGAGTTGTTTGTTCCGGACAGCCTTTTTTTCTTGTAGTTGGCCTTGAAGCAGGCTTGTCTAAGCCTCTTCGTGTTGTCCTCCAACTGTAAATCTGGCCTCTCTTCCATTAACTTCTTCTCATTCTCTAATATCTCCAATACATGCCTTAGCTTCACTCCATCTTCCTTCTCAAGCTCCTTCACATTCCTGATTAGCGTTTGGAGGCTCATCAGCTTCCTATGAGGCCATCTCCTTATGCCCAATTCTCTACACCTCTTCTTCAACAGAGTGAGCCCCACATTCAATTCCTTAGCGGCCTGACTTATGGGCATCCAGAAGTACTCAGATATTGTCTTTCTTGACAAACCTTTTGATGGGCTGCTGCTCCTTTCTCCGCGCCACTTCCTTTTGCCCCTCCCTTCTTTCCTCTCTAATCCCTTCTTTTCATTTTCTCCACCATCTTCTGCAGAGCCAAAAAGATTCTGTCATTCAATGACAACTATATAATCATAATCAAGAGCAATGTAATGTAATGAATACCTGATATAATGGTGTTATTGGGTTCAATATCCTTTAGAACCAAAAAGGAGTCATTTGGGCATGTCTCAAACAATGGAACAACGTCAAAAATGCTGTCTTGAAACCCAAAATTGCAGTTCCTATTCAATGCAGAATTGTAGGTTCTAAGTGAAATGAGAAACGAAGACTAAATGAACAATGAAAGTTGATAAAACTCACCTGAAATGGAGAGGGGAAAGATGGCATGACAAAGGAAAAGGGTCCATTTCCTCTTCACCAAAAGAGTTGGAAAATTGAAGGGGAAGAAGAAAAGGGAAAGAATTTAAGAGAGAAGGCATTGGAGAAGGTGCGCAGCCAATGAAGCGTAAAACCAGTATCAGAGCGCATGAACAGATAACGAAATCATGCAAGAAAGAGATCAGTTTTGGATTTTGAGTAATGAACAGTGAAATCATGAGCGTGTGCTTACTGCTTGGATGAAGCTAACCAATGGAATGAAGGCACTAAAAACTTACGATAATGATTACCCATCAAAAGCTTTAAGCCGTCTTAAAAAGCTTTGATCCTTAGAGTTCCAACTCACTACTGTTTCCATATGATCATGCTTTCATTTATTTGGCTTTCATTTCAATTTTAATTTATTTAACTTTTGGATAATTATACCCGAGCACAGACACCCATTAAGTTTACAACAAAACCTAGAAATCGATCATTGATCCAATATGAGTACTTCCATAGGATAGACCTTGTGACGATGAAAAAAGCATAAGTTATCTCGTTAATGCTCCCTTCCCACTGTCATCTTCTTTAGCTGGCCACACGGACCAGCTCCCCTTAAAAAAAAAAAAAAAAAAAAAAAATACTTAAACACTCAGAGGGGCAAAACAAGAAAGTAGATATTTTATGGTTGTCGTAGATAGGAGCGACTTTCTTGTGGTAGTCGGTTTGAATTATAGAATCCCAACACATAGAAAAAGGGTTGAAGGAACCAGTCAATAACTTAACACTTCGATGGAATGCTACCTCCTTTTCTGTATGTTCGGTAGAATGCTACCTCCACTGATATAAGTATATCGATTACCCCCAACTGTACAAGATAGTTACCACCTATCATAATACTTTCTAATTTCACTTCTTTCCGCTCCAAATTATTGACCCAATCATGATATTTCACTCTAAATCTAGCTTAAGCAATTCATTAATGAAATAAATTAAAATATGGGTAAATAAATTTCGACCGAGCTTAATTGTACGTATGAAAGGGAAAGGAGGGTTTCAATTTCGACAGAAGGAAATAGTACTCTAGAATCTTCTTTTATAAAATTGACAAAATTAAGAATCTTGGATAATATTCAAGGAATCATTTCTCTCAACGAAGTAAAACATAGAAATTATGGGCGTAAGCAAATCATTTCTCTAATTTCTTCCCTGACCTTGAGGACAAGAGCCATGAGGGCTGGGGGGATTTGGTCGTAAATTCTTAGCAGGAAAACAAACTGACTCCAACACTCCAATGTGGTGAAAAGCATCAGTTTCTCCACCTACCCCCTCCTCCTCTTCCTCCACCGCGGTGCTTACCACCACCCAATGCCCTGTTTGCATCAGATATCGTCTTCAAGTTTTCAGGCAGTGGAAGGATATGATCCACACACTTCCTGAAGCTGAAGTCATCAGCAGACCCATCCTCCCGAATCAGGAAGAAGCACTTGCTTTTCCACATGGGATGGTATCGAATTTGGCAAGCGCGAACACCACAGCCGATCTTTTTGTCCGGTTCGACATGCCCCTTCTTAATCAAATCCAGCAACACCATCAGCTCGTACTGCCACACAACAAATTTCAAATTTAAGACACTCAGGACTAAGAATGGTGGAGCCTTAATGGAATGAAGGAGGTCACTTTTAACCATTTGGCCTATGTTAATTGTATAAAATCAAGCCGACCACTAATCAATCTGACACAAGAATCCAAATGACCTTAGTGTTTTCAATTCAGATAATTCACCAAGCAAGAAATTTAGAGATCTCTTGTACCCATTACGAATCTCCGAGAAGTAAAGACCTCAAACTCTTACAAGTTATGAGGCAACCATCATCAATCTCCATCAGAATATTGAAGAACAAGTCTCAAATTCCAACTTGTCCATGAATACAAGCTTATTCTCCAACAAAACAACTACAATAATTAAGACCGTAATTCATGACACAAAAGATAAAAAATAGTAAAAGCTTCATATTAAATTGATTGACGAACAAATATTTTTGGTAGAGCATTCACCCTTCTGCTAAAATTGATGAACCACTCACCCTTTCATGAGTACAGAGATCCCAGTTCCCCACCCCATTTAGTAATTTTATTTTATTGTTTAGCTACATGTATCTTTTATACACTAAAACAATGACGATGATGAACAAAATCAGCAGCATTTAGCAGAAAATAAAGTTTTATCAATGCTATTCGTAGCCTTTCCATGAACAAAACAGAGAAGGATAGCAGATAAAAGAAGTCCATAATATTATACCTGGTTCACGTTCAAGTTGGCAGGCCAGTAGTGAAGAAAGTTGTAGAAGTAATCGAACAACTCCACCGATGATCCAAAGCTCTTCGGGCCTAAACTCACAGGACCATGCTCTTCCTCGCCTTTCCCATCTCTTTCCACCTTCTCAAGCCTTTCCTCTTCAACCGACTTCTCCACCTTCGGCTTTTTCGCCTCTCCGGCATGGTCATCGGCGCCTTCTTCCTCCCTCTCACGCTTGGAATTAGCATCCCCATTCGTTACTGGAGCGGCCTCGTTTGCATCAGAATCACCACCTGATACTTTCGGCTCTGTGCTTTCAAGTTCCATATCTTCGGCGGCGGAGTTGGTTACCTCCGGACCGTTTTCTGCGAGTTGAGGGATTGTCTCTTCCGCCATTTCGAACTATACTCTGAAGTTGGAACCGACAGGCTTAAGAACTAAAACCCTAGTAGCGGATTAGAGAAGACGGTCTCTTATATTCGCCCTTCACTTTTAAATTGAAAGCCTCCGGTTTAATTTCTATTACACATCGGTCCACGTAAACCGGTTGCGTTTCCTTATTTATTTGTAAAAATATGTCAAAATTAAATCAAACCCATATAAATATACTAAAAATCTCTAAAAATCCAATAATATTTCTTCAAGAAAAATATAATACAATGTTTAATTGTAAGATCCCGGAGAACGGAGTGTTCTTTATAAAGGTATGGAAACTTCTCCCTAACAGATGTGTTTTAAAAATCGTGAGGTTGACGACGATACGTAACGGACTAAAGCGGACAATATTTACTAACAGTGAGTTTTAACTATTACAAATGATATCAGAGTCTGACATCGAGCGGTGTGTCAGCAAAGACGCTGCCCCCCTCAAGGGGGTGGATTGTGAAATCTTGTTTTGGCTGTTACAAATGGTATCAAAGCTAGACAGCAAGCGGTGTGCCAGCGAGGACGTTGGACCCACCAAGGGGGTGGATTCTGAGATCTCATATCGGTTGGCGGAGAGAATGAAATATTTCTTATACCCCTCAAGGGGGTGGACTGTGAGATCTTGTTTCGGGTATTACGAATGGTATTAGAGCCAGACACCAAGCGGTGTGCCAGCAAGGACGTTGGACCCACAAAGGGGTGAATTGTGAGATATCACATCGGTTGGAGAAGAGAACGAAACATTTCTTATAAGGGTGTAGAGTCGTGATCGAGGATGAGGACATGGACAAAGAATGTAATCTTTGTGTCTGGCCTTGTTTAGGAGTCCAATGGGATAGATTGTGAGATCGCACGTCAATTAGAGAGGAGAATGAAACATTTCTCATACGGGTTTATGGTCGTTGAGACGTTGCATAATACATATTTGATTGGATTAAGTAAAGCAAATTAAGAGTGAGAAAGCAATTAGGGTTAGGGTAAGATTAGAAAGGGATTTAAAAATTGGAATGCAATGGAGAGTTGGAAAGGAAGAGAGGGCAGACAGGAAGCAGAAGGGCGGCAAGAGTGTTAAGAAGACCATGACCAGTCCCAATCCCAAACCCTGTCGGTCTCAAACCAACCTCACTCACTTTTGAGTAAAAAAGAACAAACCCAAACCAAAACCCAATAATGCAATGATCAAAAGACGGTCCTGGTCTTCGCAATCTTCCTAAAGCTTTTGAGTTCAATGGAATTGGGTACCAAAAGCGTAAAAACCGTAGCTTTACTTTTGGTTACTTCAAAGCCCTTGTACCAATAGAGATGTATTCTTTGCTTATAAATTCTTGATCATTATAGGATAAAGCGAGCGTTGGGTTCCCAAGAATGGAACTTTTTGTTCAAACTTGGAGAGAGTCTTGTAAAACACCCTTTTGTTTTATTGCTTCCATGGCAGGCTTATGATTGGCATGAATCTATGTCTTCTTTTCTTGCTTTCCTTTATTCCATTCTTATAAACCACAAACCCCATCACTGCCTTCAACGCCCACACCCAAACCAACACCATGCTTAGCACCAAAGCTTTGGTCTTTGCCTTACTTCTTGCTGGGGTTTCCTTGTGTGTTCAACCCCAAACAGCATCTGGGCTCACCACCATTGATCTTGCTCTCAAATGGGTGGCCTTCAAATCGCCAATTACCAACACCCACAACCCTGATTCTGTGAAGAAATTGAAGATGAAGAACATGAGCCTGGCTCCTTCACCAGCCATGCATTTTGACCCCAATCAGTCCAACAAAAGAGGAGTCAAGAAAGGATCCGACCCCATTCACAACAGATCCTAGCATCATTTGATTTCATTTCATCTTCTCATAATGCTCCCAACACGCTCCCCTCTCTGCTTACTTTTGATTACTTTCTTCAAAAGGGTTAGGTTGAATTTCCATTTATATATATATAGAGTTCTCTCTTTGGTTTGCTTAAATGAAATAGTTGCAAAAGTTGTTGTATAGAACAGGCCTTTTCCAATTTCTTGCTTTACAACATAGAACACCCCTTACAACTTGTAGTTCTTATTCATACAATTTTTTGCATTGTAATTGCTATTATTTTCCCTACTTTTTGCTTCAAATTTACTCTCATACCCGCTAATTAAGAGGTTGATCATAGGTTCATGAGTAAAGAGTACGAGACTTTTTGTAGAGAGTTTATACTCAAAATTGACAATATCATACTATTGCAGAGAGTCGTGGTTCCTAACATGGTATCAGAGTCATACCCTTAACTTAGTCATGTCAATAAAATCTTCAAACATCCAACAAAAAAAACTGTGAGCTTCAAAAGGTATACTTTGTTCAAGTGTCAAGAGAAGGAGTCGAGCCTCAATTAAGAACAGAGAGTTTATGGTGTAATGAAGGTATATTTACACTCATCACTAACATTTTCTCAATAAGTTAGGCATTAATGAGCTATATTTAGAATGAAGGATTATTTTTTAAATAATTAAATTAGTTACTAATCATTTTCTCAACAAGTTCAAAGTTCATTATAAAAAATTAAAAAAAAAAATGATTCCAAAGTGATTATGGTCAATCACTTTAAAAGAGTTCTTTTATTAAAAGAACTAAAAAATCTACATGAAAAAACTTAAAAATAATGCTGAAATTACAAAATTACCCTTATATTTAAAGTTTCTCCTTTTCTCTTTATGGTAATTGACATTTATAGAATTAATTAGTTTGGGTTACCAAACAAAAAAATTGAATAAAATAAATTTTAAGAAAATAAGATACAATGAACCTAAACAAATTAAAATTACACTTTAACGGACTACAACCGGATTATACGTGATAAAGTTAATTAGTAACGAAGAAACTTACAAAATATTTTTAAAAAATAAAATAAAAAAGATTAATAAAATAATGAATTTCCTAATTTTTCCATGAAAAGCAAATGGGCTAGTGGTATGGGCCGGCCCAAAACGGAAGGCTGAGCCCAATTATGGAATAACGCACGAGTTGTTTCGTAAATCATTTGGCGGCGCAGAAGGCGGTGATGTTCAATCGCCGCCACCGTCAATGAAACTCAATCATTCATTGGTTTGGCGGCTATATTTCATTCCCTAAAATTAATAAAATATTAACACTCTCTTTAATTAAATTAAATTTGGGATAATTCCAACCGCGGAACTCGGGATTTGTCACACATAATTCAATAACTAATATTTTATTAATTCAGATTATTAAATCACTTCATAATCTTTCTCTTAATTACTTGATTAATTCTGTTATGGATTTTACTTAAAAAGGCTTTAATTTGGGATTGAACTGTTTGGATTCCCAGAAAATGCATGTTCATCAAACGACGAACAACACCATGAAATTTAATGGGGAAATTCTAAGAAATTGATTCATAATTGTTGGTTGTTGATGAACTGAACATAAACAGGAAATCATAAACAAAAACAAAAAACAAAAACATAAACAAAAACAAAAACAAACTGTGTTTTTTTTTTATATTCACTCCCCAATCATCCATGTGCTGTAACTGATAAGATATACATCAAAGTGCAGATTGAAATTCAAAACCACAACATATAGAAACATAAGAAGAGACCCTTTTGGATTTAGGTGTGAATTTTGATGATGGGTTCAATGATTGGGGTTTGGAGGATGATACTCAATAACAACTTCAGCATTAACCTCCCTGCGGTGGAAGCTCCTGTGGCAGCCACAAGCAGCACAGAAGAAAGCCTCCTCAGTCCCATCCTCTCCAGTGGCCATGAACTCCCGGCAGCCGTCCACAGCAAACCCACCAAGCTTTGCAGCATGGTTCTTCCGACACTCCACATAGTGCACGACAGAGCCCACTCTGGAGCGGGTCCGGGCGCCAGAGCCCTCGGTTTTCTTCAGCACCACCACCCTCTTCTTCATCATAAACCCACCAATCTTGGGTGAATTAGGCGCAACTTAAAGGAAAGGGCACAAGATGAAGCTCCTAAGATATATATATATATAGCCCTAACCCTAAGAGAGGTATTTATAAAGTAAACCAAGTGGGCACACAGAAGCGATCAAAACAGGAACACAAGCTTATTTTGGCAACATTTTGAAAACCCTTTTGGTGGGATTACAACGCAATGACTCAACTCACCCTCTACCAAATTTCACGTTATCAAACCCAGAGGGGTATTCAAAGGGCGTGCCATTCCTTGATTGGTAAGCCTAAAAAGGTAGCTGAAAGGAGGGGTAATTAATTAAGGAGTAGAAGCGGTATTGTACCCAAATATGGTTTGCTTTACTTTACACACAATTCTTGCTTCAAATAATGCACCACACACTGCTTGGGGTGGCAGTGAGAGGGAAACAACCAAGGGATGAACACAAAAGAGGCCGCATTATATTGCTTTCTTTTTTTTCAATAAACAAAAGGGGGATTAAAACCAGCGGCTTTTTAGGCCTAACATTATATAATTAAGCTGTCCTAATTAAGGGTATAGAATAGATGTGTAGCCCAAAGATGTGTGGCACAAAGGGGTCCATTATTAACGCCATTCCACTGCCTAAGATTCCAATAATTTAATTGAACAACAACACAGTGGGCACCCTCAACCAACCAACCTCTTCCCCAAGTCCCTTTTGCATCAAATCAAGTACTCCAATAAAGCTAACACCTTTCAACATCGATTACATTCAAACTTTTGAAATGCCTTAATCAAACCCCAATCCAATTTTGATGTAACACTTTAAAACCTGTGGAATTGCCAATTCATTTGTATAGCATCGCATAACAGCGTCCAAGAATTAAGGAGCGTGTTTTAAGGGAATGTTGATTCATTGCAGAGGAGAGTTGTCGGGATTGTATCTTTCTCATGCCCCTCTTCAATCATTTTGTTTGTTTATATAACCTTTCTCCTTCCATTGTTTATTCAATCATTCGCCGCTGCATTATCGAGCTCATTGCTAATGTATATTGTCATTTTTTAGATTTTTCTTTGGGGCTTTCTCTCGACGTGTTTAAAACATATCTTTGGTATAAGAGCTAGGCACCGAGTGGTGTATCAGTGAGAATGTTGTTCCCCAAGAGGATAGATTGTGAAATCTCACGTCTATTAGATAGGGGAAATGAAACATTCTTTATAAGTTCGTGGAAATCTCTACTTAGTAGATGTTTTTTAAAATCTTGAGGGGAAGCAACTACCTTAAAATTCTCAAATTTTCTCCACCAAAGTGGTAAGTACACAAATCTAGAAAAGAATCTTAAAGATCATATTAATTCATCTAGGTTTAACGCTAATTTGAGCCGAACCTTACATTCCTAGAAAGATCATAATAATCCATCCCTCTAGATTTAACGCCAATTTAAGTGGAAGGTTACATTTCCAAAAAGATTATAATAATCCCTTTAGATTTAACGCCAATTTGATGGGAACATTACATTTCCAAAAATATCATAGTAATCCCGCTCGATTTAAAGCCAATTTGATGCGAACGTTACATTTCCAAAAATATCCTAGTAATCCCTCTATAGATTTAACGCTAGTTTGATTGGAACGTTACATCTCCAAAAATATCATAGTAATCCCGCTAGATTTAACGCCAATTTGATGGGAACGTTACATTTCCAAAAATATCATAGTAATCTCGCTAGATTTAACGCCAATGTGATGGGAACGTTACATTTCCAAAAATATCATAGTAATCTCGCTAGATTTAACGCCAATTTGATGGGAACGTTCCATTTCCAAAAATATCATAGTAATCCCTCTAGATTTAACACCAATTTGAGTGGAACGTTACATTCCCAGAAAGATCGTAATAATCCCTCTAGGTTTAACGCCAATTTGAGTGGAATGTTACGTTCCTCAAAAGATCGTAACAATCTCTCTAGCTTTAAGGCTAATTTGAGTGGAACGTTACATTCCTAGAAAGATCGTAATAATCCCTCTAGCTTTAACGCTAATTTGAGTGGAACGTTACATTCTTAGAAAGACTGTAATAATCCCTCTAAGTTTAACGCTCATCCGAGGAATAATTCAAAGACACCCATAAAGATCATAGTAATTCCTCTAAATTTAACACCAATTCAAGGGATAATCCAAATACGAAGCAAAATAAAATACGAGGAAAAAAGAAAATGACGATGACAAGGATAGTAGTAGTAGTAGACAAAACAGCATTTTGTCGTTCGTGAAACGAAAAAGGAAGGCCCAATGGCCCATCAATCAATCTAAACGCCTTTTGGCATCCGACAATTTCAGAGTTGCTGAAATGGGCCTATCTCTTTGGGCCCATTCATAGTCCCCTCCTTCCCACCCCACCCCCCATTTTGGGCCCATCTCAGGCCCACTTCTACCTTCCATGCTTATATTTTGTCGTGACGTGGATTGGGCCTTAACATTTTACAGCCCAACTTCAGGCCCACTATATTCGGGGACCAAAATCATAAAATAAAAATAAATAAATAAAAAAATACATGGGTGTTATGCTATGTTAGGCGGCACATGCTATTGTCTGGGCTTCCCTATAAATTGGTTTAAATCAAAAATAATTATTGTAATTAAATGTCACATTTATTACAGAGCTAAATTCATGACAGCTTGTCTCTTAGAATATATAATTAATTAGAGATTATAATTGGTGGACTAATTTGAGGTGATACGAGATCTAATTATGCTGGAAAGACACTAGAACAGAAACCCTCGAAGATTACTGGTCGAGCCACTGGAATGGAATGAGACGAGAATCTTCGAAGATCTTTCCTCTTTGAAACGGACGAGACATGAGCCTATAAAGAGACGTGTTTTAGCGAAATAATAATATTGAAGGTAAAGGGTTTGTCGGTAGATTTACAATTGGTGAATTTTGGTAAATATAAACTAAAAATGTAGAGGGAAAGCAAGAACTTGGAGGATATAATAGATTAAAACAACCCTTGGTGACCGTCTTGCAATGAGAAGTTGATAAGATGTTGATGATTTTGAGGTGCAACATCATCAAACAGCCATGTCTCCAGCAAAGTGAGTGGCACTCCCCCCACGCTTTCAACCCCAGTTTCAAGCTTGGAACTTTCCTCCACCGACACACAATTCTGGGTGCTTCTTGATTCTGAGTTGCTTCTTGTTGAATTTTTTGTCCAATTTTTGAGCAATCGGGCAATGTTTTCAGCACTTAATGCGTATGAAGAACAAGAAGGGGTATTGGATTCAGAAGTATGAGTTTGTTTTGTAAGCGAAAGAGCTTCTTTCAATGCTTGTTTGGCCGTTTCAATGTCTGTTTGAACCCTTCTTTCCCATTGACCCTTTGACAACCCATTTTCATACACTTTTAGCTTCTTTTTCAAATGGGTATTCCAATAATTCTTGATATCGTTGTCCGTTCTTCGTGGGAGATACGAGGCTATGGCTGCCCATCTGTTGCCTAACAGGGCTTGGAGATGAATAATCATCTTCTCCTCATGATCACTAAACTGCCCGCGTTTGATCCCGGGCCGTAAGTAATTCGTCCACCGCAATCTACAACTCTTGCTACATCTCGACAGCCCTAAACAAAACATCAGACACAACTTCATAATATATTGTCTACTTTGAGCATAAGCTCTCTTTGGAGCTTCTCCAAAAGGCCCTAACTTATAAATCTACGATCATTCTCTAAATTGGGAATTAACCCGTCCCTACAATCCTCAACATAAGAATGAACAAAAACGGGGGACATAATTACCCGTGTTATGGGGAACGGATCTCCAATTTCCAGGGCCATTTTGATGAATGTAAGAAACCAAGATGATATCTTCTTCGGGAGTCCAAGGGCCCTTCTTGACACTGATTGTTTGGCAGCAGGGTGGCCTTCCCATTGGCTTTGTTTCTTGTTTTGCTTGGAAGTTGGACGTGGGCTAAGCTAAGTATATATAGAGAGAGGCAACGCTTGGGAAGAGGTCGGCGGAATTGAATTATGTGGATGGGAATGGTGTGTGGTATGGGGCAAGATACGGTGCCGAGTGAAGCCACCTGTTTCCACTGTTTGTTCCTTTAATAACCCTAATATCATATTACTTCCAATGTCAACTCTCCTTGTCGACATCAACTTAGGTCGCTTCTTTCCATCATCTGCAGCTCTGAGTTCTTCATTTCAGCTCCTTCTACGACCATGTTTACTTTGCTCTTTCATGTTGTGGAGCTCTTTTTAAATGCAATTACAATGGATCGACCGAGTTTTTGTTCTCATTTTTTACACATATCTGAACACTAGCAGATATTATTCGCTTTGTCATGTTACATATCGTCGTCAACCTTATGGTTTTAAAATGTGTCTTTCAAAGTTACACAACGAAACCGATACTCATCCAGATACTATCTTTTTTGGGTTTTCCCTCATGAGTTACAAATGGTATTATAGCCCGACATTAGGCAGTGTGCCAACGAGGACGCCAGCCCCCCGTGGAGTTGGAATAGTGAGATCCCACAGCGGTTGGAGAGGGGAAATACGTAAGTGTCAAAGCAAACAATATGCGTTAGTAGTAGGTTTGAATTGTTACTAATTAAATTAATATTAGGTTATGGAGTATGAATATGAGGTATGTTTATAGATATAGCTAAATTTGAGGTGAGGTTACAATGTGAGAATGGAGGGCATCCCCTATTGAATTAAAAGTGGAAAATGATACTTCATGGACAACTTTACCTTTCGCGCATTGCATTGAAAACGATTTTGGATTCATGCATAGACCCAAGATGTGGCCAACTCAACATATGGTGTCCCATCCTAATTTCACTGCACAATCTCTCCCCACCAGGGACACTTACGGGAGGCTCGAGTTAATTAGAATCAAGTCAGGTATGTTATCGTTGTAAAATAAATTTGGCAAATGTAGAAAAAAGAGCATTTATATTTTTCTTTTAACTAAATATTAAGTTTGCAATTCTATATAGTTTAGTTTAGGTTGTATGTTCAGAATCATTCAAACTTTACCTAATAAATTTTGCTTGTGCAATTATTCGAATCTTTAATAAGTTTTCTTGCCTCGAGATATTCGATGAATAAGGGATTTCAAATTTCATTTTTTCTTCCAGTGATTTCATATCATTAAGGCTAACTTTCTTTGCAATTTTATATAGTTTAGGTTACATGTATAGAATCGTTCAAGCTTGACATGATCAATCTTGCTTGTAAAGCGATTTGAATCTCAAAAAGTTTTCTTGCCTAGAGATATTCGATCAATAAGATAATCCGAATCTTACTTTCTCTTGTAATGATTTCTTATCGATATAACCTAAATTTCTTATCCACGAGTGTTATCAAATGTCAATTCAAGCATAGTTTAAAGTTACTATCCGTATAGATCTAAATTTATAAAAATGTAACTTAGGTTTTCATAGAGGCATAGCTATACATAGAACACACCCTCCAACTGGGTTAGCCAAAAAAGTTGAAAGATGTTTAAAGGGGCAATGAGGCGATTGATGTGAATGCATGATGGATGAATTTGTGACATTAATTGGTAGTGGGGTAAGGCATTGTTGTTTGGGATAGGGTCAAATATTAAATAAAGACAAGGATGTGCAAGCAATGTTATAGCATACCAACCTTCCATGGCTGCCCACCTTCAAATCCCCATCACCATATTCATGTGGAATTCTTTGTTCTATAAACTTTTTGAAACTGTCAACTCCTACACACACTATGAACAATACAAAACCCAATCAACCACGTTTCCTTCTCTTCTTCTACACTTCCTGCACCGACATGGACCATCCTACAAATATAAAGGAGAAACTATTAGTTCATATTTGAGCTTAAATTCATTGCCCAAATGATCGAAGATTTGGAGGTGCAATAAATAGTGAAGAGGTTGATTTTGTAATGCTAATAGTGTTCGTTGGTTTATAATAGTAATAAATCTACATAGAATCTTAAATACTTCACTACAAATAGGATTATACATGAACAATTATAATAGTAATAAATCTACATAGAATCTTAAATACTTCACTACAAATAGGATTATACATGAACAAGAACGCGTCCCAGTTCATAAATTCTTAGTTATTTTTCTAATTTCTTTTTTAATTTAGAAAAATAAATAAATAAATAAAATGATAATTGAATCAGTCAAATGTGATGGTGGATGAGATGTTACATCCCTAGACTTAAATAAGACCAAGTAAGTTTTTATAATCAATTAATGTTAATTGGTAAGAAGCTTGTGGAGAAAATGGTTCAACAAAGGCCATCAAATAAAAAATCTAATAAAAAGGAAAAAAATATCATAGAAGTGTACGACATTTATAACAATTAAAGGTGAATTCCGGAACTAAAATCTCATTCCACCCAAACCAAATTTTAAATAATAATCTCTAAAATTCAGCATCAACTCAAAAAAAAAAAAAAAAAGTCAAAATTTCTTCAATTATCTTAAAAAACACCACCACCTATTCATAATTTAGCTCTTTGATGCAAGCTTCTCCTTCGCCTTCTGAATCTTCAATACCTTCTTCACAATTTTTTGCTCTTCCACCAAAAAGGCCCGAATGATCCTACCCCACCGGAAAAGAAAGATGCAAGCAAATAATTTATGATAAATACAATCAAATAGATGAAATATTGAGACGTCAAAAAATGTAATGGGAAGCCAACCTCTCTCTAACGGCACCGCCAGATAAAACACCGCCGTATGCACGATTAACAGTCCTCCGGTTTCTAGCCAATCTAGACCTCTTATATTCAGCTGGCCTCAAGTGAGGAATCTGCAGCGAACACAAATTTTACACGGATTAACCAAAGCTATCTTCTGGTCTGAGGCCACTTTACAGCCATATAATTTCGGAATTTGTCACCAGCTTGATGCAAATGAGCAAAAACCAAATAGCCAATTTTCAATAACCAACTTAAACTTAGAAGGCTGAGCTAACATACAATTAAGGTGTCCAAAACCATACATGTGAGTGCGTAAATGTATATACATGGGTCTACCAGTATACAAAGAATGTAAGTCATGAAGCACAAGTGTATATACATGGGTCTACCAAGAGAAAGAGAATGCATGCAATGAAGAACAAATGTACATGAATGCATCTACCAATGTACAAGAATGGATGTCCAATAGATAGATACCTTCGTGTGTAGAAACATGCATAGAATGCCATAAATAAAACATATTCCAGGACCAATCACATATTTTTTTTTTGTAAATAGAACATAGTTGAACACTACTATCTTGACGTTAATATGTAAAATGAATGAATATTTTGCAGGTATGCCATAAGGATCCAGTTCGACAATCTAAGATATGGTTAAACTGGAAGTCCTGAAATCCTCTATGTATTGTATATGCATTTTAAATAATGAAGAGAAGAACTTTCGGCCTTAAGTTCAGGGCAGAAAAGAGTCCTCCGAACAAAAAGAGAGGCAATATAAACATATAGTCGTACTAAAAATATATGCTCCTCCATCCAATTTGTGGATCATTCAGACGTCCAAAATAAAACTATGAAAATGAATATTTTCATTATGAGATTGATTTCAGTCTGTGACGGCTGTCTTTGATCATGCTCAATGACAACATGGTGAGGCCAGCGGAACAGCGAATAATCCAGAGGAACAATCAGGCCATAAAAAATATAGAGATTCATTTAACTTCCACTCGCAAAAACGAAATAAGAAATCACTCGGACGAAGTTCAGTTATTGCCAAGGGAATTAGAATTAATTTGAACTTGGAAAAAAACTAGTCTCCCTGAAAAACCTAGCAACTTCCGGAGTAATGATCGTAGGAACCAAAAGTTCCATACACGAGCGAAATTTCAGTACTGATCGACAAAAACTTTCTCTAATGCATCACAAATGCGGCGCAAACCTAACGGAAGCTATCTGCATCAGTTTTTTTCCCTTTTTCCTTGTCTATCAAATAAGTTGGACACAGCAAACAAAAGAAACAAAAAGAGAACAACTACCACAATGCCCTAAACTACAAGTGCTACATTTAGCAAGTAACATCAATCAATCCACTAAAGGCAAAAGCACGCGCCACAAAAAGATAACATCCATCAGCTAATCAAAATATCAGGAAAGTGAACAGAGAAATGGAACGAGTACATCAATCAGACACGTAACTGGTGAAATAACTAACAAGAGTAAAAAAGAAAGGCAGAGAACTGTGATTAAAAACTTACTCCCTGAATCCTTTTGCCAGTAACCGGACATTTCGGACCACTGGCTCTTTTCTTGGTAGTCTGGTACACAAGCTTCCCCCCTATAAACAGAAAAGAAGAACAATGACACAAATATCAGCCAACAATGGATTTCCAACAAGCATTGAATGCAATATCAAATGCACAAGAAACAATGGGATAGATATAGAATGGAGTCGAATGAGAGCGCTACCAGGGGTTTTGACGACACGGTGCTGGTTAGACTTGGTAGCATAGCTATGGCGCTTGCGGTAAGTAAGACGCTGAACCATCTTGGACGATTCTCCTCTCGTTCTCTGGGTGTCCTGGTTGAGGAGGCTGGCTGCGGAGACCTTCTTCCAAATTTAGGAGGATGAAATAAAAACACCAAGACAGCCCCGATGCCCTAGATCCGACGGATCGTATGCGTTCCCATCGACGATTAAGATTTAATCACGTCCTTTTTAAAAAAATCAATTTTCTATGGGCTCCGATCAAATGGTCTAATTGGGCTGGGCCGAGTATTGGGCCACAATCCCAAATGAATTGGGTTGGGTTAGCAATTAACAAGCCCGTTCTGCCAAAGAGATAGATTTTACGTTATTTCTTAACTGTATGGTACTTACTTGGCGTGATTCCATTGGTTGACTCAACTACGTCTGATTTGGATAAGATTTATTTATTATAATAATAATAATAAAGGCAACAAAAAGAAAAGTCAGTGACGCAGACTTTTCCCATTGCCAACAGTGAAACATTCACCTCACAATTCCATCCACCTTTGTTTTTTCTTCCTCGAAATTAATGGATAAATGGGCTTAATTTTTTGACATTAAAAAATATATATTAATACAAACATGTCACGTCACCATGATTTATGATTTTTTATTTTAATTGTCTTGGATCGTGACGCATGATCAGTGTATGCGATGTTAAAATTGATTTGGATTATGGACAAACACGAGAGTTCTATAAACTTGTTGTGTTATGATTTCTACAAATTTACCTAAAATAGGATAATTTTGGGCACCATTAATGCTAGCTATATTGTTTGAAAATGACCTTATCCAGTGAACATAAGTTTAATGGTAAGAATGGAAGGGGTGGACAATGGGATTTATTGGACGTTGATCTGGTTTGAGTTGACTTAGATATATTGTGTGGTGTCACAATCATATTGGGTTTGATTTTTATTTAACTGGCTTGTTCATTGGATTAGAATAAATATCGCACCATCGTTATTTTGTTGCTTAAAAAATGTGATTGTGACACGTGAGATCACATGCAAAGTTTTAAACACCATTGTTTGTTTGGTAGAGACAAGGAGTTAAGTATGAGGTCCAAATCGTGGGTTTGGCCCCATCTCCTCTCAATTCCCTTTATTTACTGCCCACTCATTATTAAAAGCTGCAACCAAAAACCCAACCCCCCTCCTTGCAAATCCCAACTTTTCCGGTTAATCCAACCTTAAATTACATTTAGACACTGTCCTTAGATTTACCAATAAAAAGGTGGCAGACATTCAAACCAGATACAGGTCTTGGATAGGAGCTTGTGTAACGATTCAAGCCTTATCACTAATACTCTTTTAGTCCGTTATTTATTACCGTCAGCCTCATAGTTTCAAAACATATGTACCAGAGAGAGGTTTCCACATCCTTATAAGAAATGTTTCATTTTCCTCCCGAATTGATGTTTAGCACTTTCACTGGCAACATGGGACATCACACTATTACGAGAAATGTTTTGTTTTGCTCGCCAATCGATGTGGGATCTCACAATCCACTATTTCGAGGGCTCAGCGTTCTCACAGACACACCTCTTTCTCCACTCCAATCAACGTGGGACCTGGAAGTTTGAACGTCGAAGAAAACCAATTAATTTAGAAACAATGTCATTTGCATAAGAGTTAATTGAGGGCAATAGTAATGAATAATGAAGATGGTTGGTTGAAAGGGAGAGATTGAAGCAAATGCTGGGGATTGTGGTTTCAAGTTTTGGGGCAGATATAATAAGTAGGATCTTAGCCAAATTAGAGGGTAAGCTGTCTCCTTCAGTGGCATACATAAGTGGCAAGCGCATGTGGTCTCAGAAAAGGCAGCATTCTGTAATGTCTGGTCCACATTTCTAGTTTTTTCTTGCAAATTATTTCATCAACTCATACACACACTACTCTGTCACCCATTAGATGCACCCACAGCCTTGAATACACTCCATCTTCTTGCTTTCTAAACGCTTCCTCATAGGGTATATATTAACAACACAACCATTTTGCAAAATTTACTGATGTTGCCAATTCAGTAACATGTAAACTAGATCATTTATTTGAACTGTTTTTTACCGTTTCTAACTTCTACTGTTGCTGCTTTCCCTGCAAACTGGATTCTACTTTTCTTTTGGTGGGGGAGAAAAAGAAAAGGACTTTATGTTTGTTCATTGGCATTGATTGCAGCTACATCATCATCCAACACGTTCTCTCAGATCCTACATCGGTTGAACAGAAAAAACGAAATATTCTTCCATATCAAATGCATTTTAAAATCATGAAGTTGACGATCATATGTAATAGGTTAAAGTGGACAATATCCGTTAGCGGTGGATTTGAGCTGTTACAAACGATATTAGAACTAGGTACCGAGCGGTGTGCCAGCGAGGAATCTAGCTCCCCAATAGGGTAGATTATGAGATCTCACATCAGTTAGAGAGGGAAATGAAACATTTCTTATAAATGTGTGAAAACCTCTCCCTATAATGTTTTAAAACTATGAGGTTGACGATAATACGTAATGGGTCAAAGCAAACAATATGTATTAGTGGTGGGCTTGGACTGTTACGAATGATATCAAAGCTAGATACTAGGTGGTGTGCTAGCGAAAACGTCAACCTACTAAGGGGGTGGATTGTGAGATCCTACATCGGTTGGAGAAGAAAACGAAACATTTCTTATAAGGGTGTGGAAATCTCTCCCTAGTGAGTTTTAAAACCGTGAAGGAGACAATAATACATAACGGATCGAAGCGAATAATGTCGGCTAACAGTGAGCTTTGACTGTTACAAACGATATCAAAACTAGACACTAAGTTGTATGCTAGCAAGGACGCTCGCGCCTTAAAGGGAATGGATTGCGAGATTTGACATCGGTTGGAGGAGGAAACGAAACATTTATGTAAAAACCTTCCTCTAACCGACATGTTTTAAAACTGTGAGGCTAATAGTTATATATAACGACAATATAGGAATGGTTAGCAGGCTCCATGGTGTTATAGTTGGAGGTGTTGCATCAGCATGATTGGCGAGTGTCCTTGTGGGTTGAATGATAGAGAAAAAAAGCAGCTCACGTGGTGTCTGAACCAAAGGGGCTGTCCATTGTCCAACCCTCCATCAAACCTTCACCGTTTTGTTTTGGTAAAAACACACATTCAGCTCTCACTCGCATTTCCCTCATCATTTTTTCCACTTTGTTTTTTTAAGGAAAGAAAAAAAAAAAAAAGAAAAAACATAAAGGCTGACTCACTCAGTCTTTTCCCTTTTTTTTGTTTCTCAATTCAAAATCTTTGTACATGCGATCATGGAGGGGGGTGATGACCTCCACCGCTACCACCACCACCACCACAACCACCACCACCATCACCGCCCTAACTTCCCGTTTCAATTACTCGAAAAGAAAGACGACGACGACGCCACCGCCGCCTCTTGCTCAACTTCCCCTTACCCTTCTCTCGCCATCTCCACCGACCCTACTACAACCGCCGCCGCTGCTGCTGTCGAGCCCTCCAAGAAGCCACCACCGAAAAGAACCTCCACCAAAGACCGCCACACTAAAGTGGATGGCCGTGGGCGGCGCATCCGAATGCCAGCCCTATGTGCGGCGAGGGTATTCCAGCTGACACGCGAACTGGGTCACAAGTCCGACGGAGAAACCATCGAGTGGCTACTCCAACAGGCGGAACCCTCCGTGATCGCCGCCACGGGAACCGGAACAATCCCGGCGAACTTCACATCCCTCAACATCTCATTACGTAGCTCTGGCTCCACCATGTCCGTCCCTTCACAGCTCCGTTCATCGTCCTATTACAATCCAAATTTCTCCCTCCACCCACCACGCCGCACCCTTTTCCCCGGATTTGGCCTCTCATCGGAAACTTCCTCCACCGCCCTCCTCAATTTCCAGTCCACTAACACCGGCAACTCTCTACTCCAAGCCAAACCCGAACTCCGAGACACCACCACTTCATTAGACCTCTCCGACGCGGTGGAGGACATCAGCATAGGACGGAAGAGACGGCCATCGTCGGAGCAGGAGTTCAGTACAGGCGCGATTCCGGCGAGCGGAGGTCAGGTACCGGCGAATTTATGGATGCTTGCGAATACAAATAACCAAGGGATGGGGGTTGACCCCATATGGACTTTTCCGTCGGTGAATAACAGCGGTTTGTATAGAGGGACGATGTCAAGTGGGTTGCATTTCATGAACTTTCCGGGTCCGGTCACGTTGGTTCCGGGTCAGCAACTCGGGTCGAGCGCCAGCGGTGGGAGTAATAGTTCTAGTGAGGCCCACTTCAATATACTTGCTGGCCTGAATCCTTATCGGTCGCTGTCAAGCAGCGGCGTAATGGAAGCGCAGGGAAGTGGATCGCAGTCTCATCACGGCGGCGGCGGAGATGACCGGCACGACACAACCAGTCACCACTCGTAATGGAACGGTAACGGAAAACGGTAGATCCCCGCTCTATCCACATGTGTGGTCGTTTGATGTGTGGAAACACACGTGAGGTTTGATTTTCCATTGAGAAAAAAAATAAAAAAATAAAAAAATAATCTTTTTTTTTTTTCTTTTTTGAGCTAATTTTTTTGTTTGATTAATAAATATGGAGTATGATGAGAAAAAGAAAAGAAAAAGAAAGCCCATTTGAGTTTATTATTATTAAATATTAATCCTTGAGAAAGAAAATTGATTAAATTTTATTATTATTATTATTATTAGATTATGTGATGGAAAAAAAGTTAGAAATATTTGCATTAATAATGATGATAATGAATGAATAAGATTTCAAGGGTATAGTTTTATCATAGGGATTGATATTTAATGGGGGAGGGGGGCCCACTCCTCGTCTTATCAGTTCCAGGTGTCGGCTGGGTCCCACCGGGCAAACCAATGTACAATATAACTGACACTGACAAACAGGTGGATTGGATGATTCTCTCTCTTGTGTTTTTCGATTTTATTGGTAGCAGAAATGACGTGGAAATTGGAAAAATAGGGAATGGGAGGATTTATCTACACCGTTCATTTAGTGGGCCCGCGGTGTTTCTTTTACACATGATTGAGTGTGGTCTACTAATTAATGATTTTCTTAAAAAATTCCTATTTTTTTAATTATATATTACGTAATATTTGTTTAGGGTTCGTGGGTTTGTGTCAGAGGACACAAGAGGAAGGCCTCCATTATTAAAATAATTGATTCCCTCTGCTCTTTTACCAAAATGCCCCCAACTTTTCTTCCTTTCTCGTTATTAATTTCAGTGTCCTTCTACCCTCACTCCTTCCATTTTTATTATTATTCTAAACTAAACTAAACTAACTAATTAATTAAATATTCGTGGTAACTAAATGAACTCGAACACCATTCTCACATTGGATTAGAACTTGACCGGGATACGTTGCAATTGAGTCCTTTAACTTCGATCTACAATAAATCTAGTCGTAAAAAAACGTCACTGCCTTAATATACATTAATTTTCATAATGTAATTAAATTTTGTAGTGCAGTATAGATAAATGAAGAAGACATTTGAGCCGTTGATTAAAATACAATCCAGAAAAATTGAGTACGTTAGAATATAACTATCACTATAGATCAGAGGTGTCTCCATCCAACGCATTATACACATGCATGTGAATTGAAAAAAATGAATGGTCCCAACCAAATTCAAAATTATTTAAGTCATTACCCCTTGGACTCAACAAACTTGCCGGCATGGTTTTGGCAAAACATGGTGTCACCTCATACTCTACATTTCCATACATCATTTAAATAAGATACCTATTTTTAGGCTTGCTTTTTTGGTAAAGAAAACAAAACATTTTCATTAGTAAAAAAAAAAATTATTTTTTTAATTTTCTTTTTAGGGGTTTCTGAAATTCACCAATTTTAAAGTTTTAAGAGAAAGGTTTAAAAAGAGAATTAAATTAAATAGTAAAATAAACAAAATTATGTCGGGTTTGAATTACTATGGTTTAAAAAAAACAAAAAATCAGCAAAATTGATGAGATGAGTTGTCATTCCACTTTACAACTTTGATAATTAAACGATTTGAATTTGAACAAGAACAGGAAGAAATCTAAAAGGCAATAATTAGGGAAAAGGGGATTTAGTAAGCAAATGATTGATGGGTATTATCCAAAATGAGTTAATATGGGTCTGGTTTGGGAGTTAGAGACATTGATGCAGAAGGGCATGTGTGCTTGGGTTTGTTCTTAGTTGAAAGATCTAAAATTTAAACATTTCAAGTTGAAGAATCAGTCACTATGAACGACTGTTGTTCTCAATGGATTACAAAATGTGCGTATTTTCCACATAGAAGAATTACGTATAATCTTAATGTTGACAAAGGATATGATATGAGCGTGGATGTTAAGAAGAGAGTGATGATTATGAGTTGATGTCGATGATTTGGAAACAAGTGTGGAAAATACGTAATCAGCATCAGCGATTATTCGCCCCAAATCTCACGGTGGACGGGCCGATCGAGTCGCTACTCAGAGCCCACTCGCGAGTTGCCACGATTTGGATTTTTCCGTCTCTATCAATTTCATACTCCTTCCTTCGCTTCGGATTTGTCAAGAAGTCACCACTGCGTTCATGGGAAGGACTGCATTTTTCTCGAGTCATTCTACGACTGTGGCTTTCATCTGGTTCACCTCTGCCGCCCTCTTCTTCTTTCTTTTCCAGATGGCTCTCCACAACTCTACTTCCGCTTCTTCTTCTTCTTCTTCTTCTTCTTCAGGTATTCATTCGTTTCCTTCATCTCCTCGTTTGTTTTATCTGTTCTCCGTCCACTTTTAGGAAAATCTAGGGTTTGTATGGCAAAATGAATGAAATCTGGCAATCGCGATTTGGGCATTTAGCTTTCAAGTAATTTTATGTTATGAATCGAGTGAGAATTTGATCGAATCAATTATAAGAACTGTCACGAGCGTTGTAATCAAGCAAATCTTTTATATTACTGTTTCCTCATCTTCTGGAATAATTACCACCGTAATGCGTATTTGATTAGGATTTCCTTTTGAATTGGCTTGCATGGTGAAGAAAATTATAGCAATGTATTATGAAATTAAGCGTGCCACTTTGTTGAAACTTCTATCAGATTCTTTGATTTCAAATTCTGAGTTAAGATCAAGATTGTACAACAAGATGGAGAAGGATTTGGATGAGAAAGGGGCACTTTTCCTCAAGGATGGCGAAACATCTCAGTCTTTATCACTTTCTGATATCTTCACCGTTAAGGATGGATCAGTCACTCCTATATTGAAGGCAAGCTGTTCCTACAAGAAATTCTATTTATGATTTTATATCTCTTCCCACATTTGCTTCAAGTGATGCCATTTTCATCTATGCAGCCGGCAAATCCTCCTGTTCGTGCTAACGTTTTGTATCTAAGCACAGAGTACTCTGTTCCCATATCGTAAGAATTGTATTGTTTTACATGTTTTAGCATAGCCTCGCAAATTATCCATTCTTGAAATCTTCATGTTCCTCTTCGGTTATGCCTATTAATAAACATTTTTGTTGTTGCAGTGAGGCGGTAAAATCTATATTCAATCCTTATTTTGATAAAGGTATGCTTTATTTGTTCATTTTCATTTCTAGGCTGTAGTTTATTTCCTATGTTCAATATAAATATGTTTCTACACAGAAATGATCGCATGATCGGCATTTTTTTTAATATGGTATCATTCCTTAACATGGACTCCCCTGTACTTTGTTTAGCAATTTGGTTCCAGAACTCTAGCTTGTACCATTTTAGCATGTTTCACGCATCGCACCATATTACACCGGTTCCTGCTACTGAAGACGAGGCAAGTTGTCTTCTTTATATGTTATTGTTTATCTTTGAAAACCTTCTTTTGTGTATAACTTTTCTACATATCGTTTGTTTGGCAGATCGAAGCTGAAGCAGCTGCTGTGAAGTCTGCAACAGAGCATATGTCCCGATTGAAAATAGTTCTAGACAGGGTTGTTTTAACTTCAACAGGCGTTCTTCTTGGATGTTGGCAGGTTATTTCCTTTTAACTTATGGAGACATCGCTATAACATTTTTAGAATTTTCAAATGCCTAGATTTTGGTTGCAGTTTTTCTGTCTTTGTTGTTTTTCCTCAACAATACATTCATACGGGGTGAGGAAAAACAAATGACTTGCACAGTATTTTGTTTACCGTATTTCTTAGATCCGGCTCAATCACATTATCATGTTCTCGCACCTTGAATCTGTAAATATTGATGTTCTTCAAAAAAGCTTGCAGCCTTTTGTTCTTCTGTTTAAGAAGAGGGACAACAAACTGAATTGAGACTGCATGAGAGTTCTCTTCATTGTACCATTTCAGAAAATTCTCTGATAACATTTCTGTGTGTTACTCTGTCTATGTAACTTTTCACTAAAACTTTAGTGAAGTATCCGGATAAGTAAAAATCTCAGTATTCTGATAGGAACTAGAGAAATATACTGAGAATCAAGAAAATGCAGAAAGATAACTTCCCAAGTCATTTGTGGTACTCGAAACCTCTCTCTCTCGACACTAGAGCCTAAACCAACCAAACCCTTGCATACCTTCATCCTTTCCCTAATTTGGTCTAATGCTGAAGATAGTCAGCTGTGGCAATTATTTCTCAGGCCACGAGGACTGGGGAGTCTTAAGAATAGTCCAACCATAAATTTTTGCGATCCTTAACTTTTCTTTTGTGCAGGTAATATCAGGGACAGATCCTGTGACGATACGTGCTAAACTAAGGGCAGCACTTCCACATGCACCAGAGAAACAACTTGTATGACTTTGTGATTTTTAAATTTCAGTTTATGTGAAATAGTGATAGTAGCAGAATACTAATCTATAGTAATCTTTCAAATTATCAGTTAAACTAGAAGACATATAATATTGGTACATTCAGCTAATAGATGAAATAATTTGTCCTGTGAGCTATAATTTTTGGCTTTAATGCATATTTATGAGATTGGTGAGGACTTGGACACCCCGTTTTTGTAGTCTCTATAATGACGTAATTGCTAAGAATGTCCATCTTCTTGCTTTGCCACTTTCTGGGCGTTGAGGAGGTTTTGCCACAGATTTGTGGTTAATTTTATTGTTAATACTGTCTCGCTGTTTTTTGCGCATATTTTGGCCGACCTCTTGTTAAGTTCTTTAATTGAAAAGATGAAGGCCTGAACTATTTTAGATTAGATGCTTCCTATGCTTAGCTTTATTTCTTTGATTTAAGATAAGAAGACTGTTTCTTATACATATTTATATGGAAAAAAGAGGAAGAAGAAGAACGGTTTATTGTTCCCTTGAGCATCCAGTTAATACGAAGTTTTATATGTCAACACACTTTATGCTGCATTTATTGTTTCACTTTTCAACCATTGTCATAAAGTATGAATATAGCATAACTAATTGGCAATGCTTTTGCCTTCTACAGTATGATCCTGCTATTCTTCACACATCATTTGCTCGCCTTTTGGGTCACCCGAAACTTCCCGGATCGGTACTGTCTTAGACCAATGTTTATTTCAGATGTTTCTTGCTTTATTTAAGTTGAGATTCAGAAAGACCGCAGTAGTCGTTCCCATAGACATGTCGTTTGAGTTTAATGAGAATTTGTGATAATATTTAGCTCTATTGAAACGAATTGTGTTGGCGATGGAGACATTTTTCTGTGACTACCTTTTCCTTTTTGTTATTGTAGCTTCATAGTAGTTCTGATGAACTCCAACTCTTTCACGAGCTGGTTGCTCGCTTGAATAAACAACTCCATGGATTTGAGGTAAGTTCTTAAATCTTAATCTATATCTTTTCGTGTATTTGTTTGTATTTCAAACTTAGCTTACTGAGCTTGGGTTGGGTATAATCTGGATTACATAGGGAGAATCTATACTTTACTAGTACATGAAGTTGAAAACTGTTTTCGGGTACTTTCAACAATTCTGAGCTGTACCTTTAATGTCATTCTGTGAGTTGTAATCTGAAAATAGATGGGCATATTGGAATCTGTGCAGAATTCGTTACATAAGCTTCAATGAATATAAGGAATTGAAATTTGCAGGCAATGGTGTCGGAGCTGTGGTATGTGGAGGAATATGATGTTTTAGCTCTGGCTTTGAATGGAAGAATGAAGATTCACAAGTTCCAACTTGGCTGCTCCAGCTCTTGAGATGAACAATCTCAATACCACCCTTGAACTTCACACAAGAGTTTTCTTATAAACAACCCGCAGTTGATACTCGCTGCCGCACGGCCACCCGCTCAGAATGATGCAGACTTTCTCTTAGACGTGAAACTTGAAAGGGTTATAACGTTACAAGGAGCTTTCTTGTAAATGAATAAGAGGCTTATCTGAATAGATAAAAGATGTGTACTATGTTATAAAAGTTAGATGCCCGTCTCTTGAACTAAAGAAAATAACAGGGAGATGAGGTCATGGGCGTTAGTAATGCGGCTGTGCGGCTGACACGCTCGTCGACCTCAGTAGTCAATGGGGCGATCCTCGTGCAGCCACACGCTGGGTTTCATTTGTTAAATGGCAAATTTTATTCAATTACCTTTTAAAAGAAAAAAAATCAATCAAATTTCAACTATGGATAATGACAATAAATTGTTATATTGATGATTTGGCAATGAATCATTGGAGGAAGTCTAGTCATGAGCCAAGCAAGCAAAATGAGGGGCGTTGAAACTGAAATGGAGAGGAAAGGACAAAGTGGGGAGCGTGTCCACCATGCTTCCGGCAAGTCGCCGGCCACGTGCTCTCTATACGCTGAGCCTCCCCTTCCACACGCCCAGATGAGTGTGCACCAGCCCTAATTTTCCACCCCTTTCTTCTATTTCTCTCTTTCTTCACCTCACCACTTTCTTCTCTTCTAATCTCTCCCTGCGCAGGTATGACCTCTTATTCACGTTCTTGTTCGTTTTGTTACTTGGGTCTGTTTTCTTTCTACAACTTTTGTGGGCAATTCGCCTGTATGCTGTTGCACGGTTTCTCTTCATGACCAATGATGTGATCTTAGTTGTTTGATTGATATGAAATGGGATTCTTTGATCAGGTGTTGAGTTTTAGATTGTCTCTTCGGAAAAATTTGGAACTTTGAGATAGATTCATGGGGTTTATTATAATTGCAGAAGTCTGGCTTTTCTCTCGGTTTCACTTGCTGTAGAAGATCATGGTTTCCGAGGTTCCTTCACAACCGGTTATTGAAACTGATGTTGCAGATGTGGCTTCTGTATCTAGGTAACTCTTCATGATTCTTAATTGTAAAACTTACGTTGTTGAATGTTCTGAATGTCTGAAATGCATAAACTAAACAATTACTGCATCGATGGTAGAATGTGGAATGCATTTGTTGATATGCTAAGGATGATGTTTTTGGGTAATTTGTGGTGGGTTTGTTTAGCTGTTTTAAGATTGAAGTTTAAGCTGGTTCTTTATGCAGGCAATGTCCTGGTAAAAAAAATCCGGCGAAAGTTCCTAAGAAAATTCACAAGGCAGAGAGGGAGAAGTTGAAGCGAGGGCATTTAAACGATCTCTTCCTTCACCTCGCAAATGTGCTTGGTAATATGCTCCCAATTACCATTCGGTAGAATATTAAGATATTCTCAGCTGTTCTCATACTTGGAATGGTCATCTGCAGAGCTAACAGAACCGAACAATGGGAAGGCGTCCATTTTGTGTGAAGCAAATCGACTGGTAAAGGACTTATTTGGTCAGATTGAGTGCCTCAGAAAGGAGCATGCATCGTTGTTGACAGAATCTAGAGATGTAAGGCTCATAAATACACCATTACTCTTTCTTAGAATTGAGAGGAAAAGGTCTCTAAATAGATGACAAATTGCACGAATTATCACACAGGTTGACATTGAGAAGAATGAGCTGCGAGAAGAGACTTCTGCTTTAGCATCTCAGATTGAGAAGCTGCAAAGTGAGTTACAATCAAGGGCCGTGCATTCTAAACCCGACTTAAATACCACTCCACCACAAGCACATTTCTCAGGGGAATGCCTTGGATTGCCTGTTATGGAACCCACAATGCAGCAAACACACGCGGTTATTATCGTCCCCGTGCGGCCGGATCTCCCATCTTATCCAGCAGCGGATGCAACTCAAGCCCCAACAATGGCTACCTCACATGTAACCAAACCACATGCCAGATATCCAACACCAGCAGATTCCTGGCCTGCTGGACTTCTCAAATTGTCACAAACAACAGAACAACCAAGTAAAGAGTTTTTAACCATTGGTTGCAAGAGCATTACGGATATTATGGGTTAAAGAGGCCCTGAAAGAACTGAGAGCTGATCTTTGTAGTGACCTCTTTTGTAGATAATTTGTAGTATAAATTTGTCTCTAGGATGTTGGATTCGAACAAGTTAATGAATCTGCAACTGGGTTCTGTATCTTCTCCGAAAAACACTGCTTCATTTCCCTGTTTTTCAAGCTTTATTCAATCTGGATGTATTTTTTTTACCAAACCTGCTAAATTATGAAATCAAAAAGGATATTTGGAAGGTGTGAACAAAAATGATAGCTCAGATCTTAGGTTATCTTGGGGTATACAAAGCCGACCACCAATGTCACGGTGTGAGTTCGAGAAGGCGGCTTTACTTCACCACCCTTGTCATTATGTGCCAACTTTTGTTCGGTGGACCCTTAACCTTCACCATCCCCAAAGGGCCAAACGGAGAACAAACAGTTCAATTTTCTTTAAGTTTGCGACTATTGTTCTAAATTAAATAGATTAACATCGCATCAAAATTCCTTCATATTCTCCTGTTCTTTTATGTATCTCTTTATTCCATCCTCCTTTTTTCTCTCTCTTTTCCCACTGAAAAGTTTGTAAGACTACAGTGTGTATAAAGTAAACAGATGGTGAGCATTTATTGGCTAGTTTCTTTCTGAGCAAAGTTCCAGCCTTTCCAGTCACTCTCTTTCTGGGCAACCGACGCAAGAGCATTACGAGAAGCAAATAATCAAGAAGCTTCAGACCAGACGGGCAGTCGGTGAAGGGGAAAATTTTCGAAATGGGATCTGGAGCGGGCAGTTTCTTCAAGGTCATCCTCAAAAACTTCGATGTTCTTGCCGGGTATGTCGTTTCTCTCCTCTTCCTTTAACTTTACCGCTTTGATTCTGATTATTAGAGAGGAGGGATCAGTTTTTTTTGTAAAGGGTCGACCTTGCTAGGCTGACAAGAAAACTTACGAACACAATTTCTCTATTAACACCAATATCATCTACCCCATCTCCCCCGCAAGCCCAAGATGATGTTGTAAAGTCATTTAGCTTGAGGAATAGACAAATGTTTAGCGAGCAAATTAGGTGGAAGGAATAATCTGAAACCCCAACTGCTTTGCCAGTATCTTCTCATGAATGAGCTCTATAGGCTTCATTTGAGAAGGAAATTAAATGCTGGGTTTTGTGCAAAGACTCCTGTCCCAATTGTATCATACCGCAACACAGAATAAGAGGACCCATGTGCTTTGAAGAAAGATTCCAAACACCCCAGTTGTAGACTGAGCCAAGTATTCTGATACTGTTCTAGGCCGTGCCATCAGTTTGTTGTGGCAAGAGCTCCTGGTTTGGATGTTGGAGAACTGAGGCCTGGTCATTGTTAGGTACTTAGCCAGTAGCCCAATCAACCATAAGCTTGTTTTTATTAGTGGATCTTGAGTATAAATGGTCTGAGAAAGATAAAGAACATCCATCACAGTAATGTAGTTTAAAACCAAGAATACTAGTAGCATACTGATACAAGAATTTGGAGAGCTATAGTCTGCTCAACTATGAAATGATGACTTTATTAATTGAAATTTCATTAACATGCGCTAAAAGAATAATAGAAGTATGACAGTACAAAGCATTGTTTGGCTTTCACATAACACGTGCAATGTACCTGTCAAGACTACAAGACCAGCTAGTTGTCTTGTTTCATCTTAGCAATTTAGTCCATCATTTAAAAGTAAAGAAGTCTCTGATGGAGAGAGAGAATGAAGCATTCCTTATAAGGGTGTGAAAATCTCTTTCTAACATACGCGTTTTAAAATCTTGAGGGGAAAGCCCAAAAAAGACAATATCTGCTAGCGGTGGGCTTGGGCTGTTACCACCTCAATACTCGGGGGTTTCTTTATATAGTTCAATGATTAGTTTTCAATTGAAGGTACTTCCAAAATCATAACAAAAGCATTTACCCTGCACAAGACCACCTGAGAGATCAGACATTATGGATGTGCGCAAACATCCACCTGCTCACAGAGGTGCTATATGTTTGTAACTAAGGATTTCTATATAAGACACAAGATTAACCTTCATCTCCAGAACCAGAATTCAAAGATTGGCCTGAAATCTTTGTACTGTTCCTAGTAGAAAACCTTCAAGATCAAGCGATTTCACTGTTTAAAGCACAAGACTAAAAGAAGTGTAATTTGACCAGTCAAGCATGTCTGTAATTTACAATGATCTTCTATTGAGTAGAGGGGGATGGAGAAACAAGCATGGATATCTTGTATAATGTATGGACTGGCTAGATCAAGAACCCATTGACATTAGTCTATCACTCTAATACCCTTAAAGAAGATCTAGAGAAAACTATACAAAAATACCGTGAGAGTGATGGATGGGAAGGGGAATATGGTTAGGGTAAGGAAAGGATTGTAAGGCAGCAGAAAAAATGATTGGCTAATCATTGAGAAAAGTTCGAGGACGATTGGATTTAGGCGAGAAAGACGAGACTTCCATACACCGACCGTGGTTTTCTTTCCCCACACAATTCAAACTATTTTCTGATTGCTATCAAGCGCTCAAGTGCAAAATTTTAACTTCATTCATTGGTTTCATTTGCAGGCCTCTGGTTAGCCTTGTTTATCCTCTGTAAGTCGTTCGCTTCTCGATCTAATTTTCTATCCGTCTCATTAATGATACCTTTCGACAGTCAAAATCTCGAAATTGTAGTGTAATATTTGCTATTTGGCAGATATGCGTCGGTTAGAGCCATTGAAACAAAGTCTCATGTGGACGATCAGCAGTGGCTTACCTACTGGATCCTATATTCTATGCTCACCCTGTTCGAGCTTACATTTTCCAAAGTTCTCGAATGGTAAATCTTGAATAGAGCTTTTGCACATTTTCGTTAATCTTTTGGTCCAAGTCTGAAAAGCCACTGATGACTTTACATCTTTACAATAGGATCCCTATATGGCCTTATGCAAGGTTGATTTTTTCATGCTGGTTGGTCATTCCATACTTTAGTGGTGCTGCATATGTGTACGACCACTTCGTCAGGCCTCTATTCATCAACAAACAGACAGTTAACATTTGGTATGTTCCAAAGATGAAGGAGTTCTTCAGCAAGCCCGACGACATCCTAACCGCTGCAGAGAAGTACATCGCCGAAAATGGTACCGAAGACCTCCAAAATGTCATCAACAGGGTATAATACACTCTCACTCAACTCTCTACTGGTTGCTTTAAGCCACAAAAATATGATTTGTTTTCGTTTCGTTTCTGTAGGCCGATAAGGCTCATTCGAGTAACCGTTACATGAGCTATACCGAAGATCACGCCTACGAGCATTGGCACTGATCTATATCAAAGTAGGAGGCTGTCCGTTGATGCTGTGTGGTAAGTTTATTTATATGCTGTTGTGAAATTCTGTGTTGTTGTTCATATCAAACACTGGTCGGCACTCTGTAAGTTCTAAGTAGATGGTTTATAAGTATGAATTCTTCAGGTTTAGTATCATTTTGTGTTGTTCCTTCCACCCTTCCCATCTCTCTGGACCTAATTGAGTATGCATCACTCTGTTTCTTAATCAAATAATATAATTAGTTAATAAAAAAGAAGTAAAAAATTGTGTTGTCATGATCCAAGGGGAAACATTCATTGAAGGATTATACACTTCTGGACACTCAGATTTAAAGAACTAATCAAACCTTAATTATGATTACTCAACCTTTTAATTTCTATATTCGCAACTTGCTGATATTAGAATTGCAACTTTCCTGTTTGAAGGATTATAAACAATTCCAAAATACCCTATTGCTGTTCATCATAAATTAATCATGGATTTATTAAAACCAAATCTTCTTCATTAACATAAACAAATACCTCATCAGAATACACCAAATGTTGACAGTAAACAGAAACTTACTTGCTTCTTATTCCTTTATTGTTTTCAGTAGCTATGCAATTGAATCGAGGACCGAGTTCTTGTTATTATTAAAGAAGTGAGTTGAAGAGGATAGTATTTACTAGCGGTGGGCTTGAACTGTTATGAATGATATCAAAGTTAAGCACGGAAAGACGACGGTAGGTGGGGTGTTACAAAAGGAAAAGGGCAAAAGGGGAAGTTGAAGTTGCCTAGAATGAAATTGCAGGTAATTTGGGGAGGTAAAATAATAGTTTGATGGGTTGGATGCATGGAAGGCAGAAGAAAAGATGCTGTTTGTTTTGATTTTGTTTAAGTGTCTCCACGTGCAACTGTGTTTGTTGAGCTCACATTCCAAAGCAAAGCATATAATATATAATGAATGAAGAAGACAAATGTTAAGCATATGCAATAAGGATGAATTACTTCTCTTCGCTGTCCTTTCCCATCCATTTCATGTGCCCCGCGATGCTTGCTGACCCCCTTCTTTTTAATATCTCCCCTTCTTTTATCTAAATTACATCTTCCGTCCTCGTTTAACTCGTAACTTGAACAACCGTCATAAGAGGACACAATAGAACAAACGAGGGAGTGATTAGAGATTTCTTCCCGTTAGCTAAACAAAACCAAAGATGAGAATTACATGTCCTCTCCCCGATCTTGCTCCAATTATTAGATTTATTAAGATATTTTACCATTATTTTACCATTACTTACAGGTAGACTTGATTGAGGGGCGAAGAGAAGTAATTCCACGTAGAACTTAAGAATATGTTAAACTCCGGTGGAACTCTAGGGACGCTTCTATTCAAGGGCTTCTAACAATGCTTTTATTCAAGGGCTTCTAGCCATAAGCCTCTAGAGAGGAGTCCCACGTTGGAAGTAGAATATTATCTCAAAACTTTTAACATCGTACCATTGCGTGAGGTCGTGATTTAATTTAATTAATTAAAGATGAATTTTTAATTTAAAAGGTAATTAATATGTGAGGAGTGGAGAAGTCAGATCCACGTGGTGATGAAAATTGATGTTGATTGGTGTCTAGGTTTTTCCAAATGATTCAGAAACACAAAAACAACAGGCTTTTTATTTATTTATTATTTATTATTTATTATTATTAGTTTAGTTTGTGTGTTCATTGAAAAAAAATCCTAACTTTCTACGTCGTCTCTGAATCAGGGTTTTGTTTATTGCCATCTCAAAGATTCTCAATTATTATCCATCAACTTGCCCTTAATTTTTTCCATTTTATTTTATTTTATTTTATTTTTATTCCCTTTAAACTTCTTCTTTTAATCCCTCCATTTCTATAAATTTACTTTATTATATGTGTAATTAATTGTGACTTTATGTTAATCATTTTTAATTATTAACCTAATCTTTTTTGGTAACCTAAGACCAAATCATTATATTCTTAAAATAATTTTTTCGCTTAATTATGTACCACCTTATTTAATTAATCATACGATGATTAGCAAAAAAAAAAAAAAAAAAAAGCAGAACCCCGTCACATTATTTTTGTTCATGCAAGGCTGTTATTGGTCTCATTAGTTTAGTAATTATATGTCAATTCTTAATTAAGAGTTTAGATGTTTAAATCTCTCTTACTAATTCACACGAGATTCCACGTGCTCCATGCTACTCGGGTCAGAGAGTAAGCTAGTGATGTTTTCAGCTAGATGGCTGCTGCAGCACGACGTTGTATTACTCTCCCACAATCCGGTTTTCACAATTTAGGCTGCTCCCATTTTGCTTTCAGCATCAGTTTGAAAGGTTGATGTATTTGGAAATCTCCGGATCTACACTTATTTTCAACTCTTCAAAGCATTTCGTCAGTTACTACGTCGTTTCTCGTCTCTGGGTGTGTAGGTATCCACCGTAAAAATTTAATCTTTACGTCCTAAAGAGTGTGTAGGTATCCACCGTAAAAATTTAATCTTTACGTCCTGAAGAGTGTTAGTTTATAAGGCTGACTGGTCAAGAAATTAATAATGAAATGATGAGAGAGGAGAGAGAGGGAAGACAGTAATATAAAAACAGGTGAAGGAAGTGGTTGTTCCCATGCAAACTGGTTTTCATACTCTTCAAAACCACACTACTTGTTTGTGCCAAAACACACACACTTGCTTCTCATTCACCTACCTTCCTTCTACCTTAATTTCAACGAAGATGTCCACCAGAAGATCCAGATCTAGGCAATCAGGCAGCTCGAGAATCACCGACGACCAAATTAACGACCTCGTTTCCAAGTTGCAGCAGCTTCTTCCCGAGATTCGCCACAGACAATCCGATAAGGTGACTTCTTCTTTCCTCCTATGTACTCATTCTTGTTCTTGTACTTGTTCTTGTTCTTATTCTGACGTTGTGTTTAAATGTATAGAGTTCAGCAGCACACGTGTTGCAAGAGACGTGTAATTACATAAGAAGCCTACATCGAGAGGTGGACGATCTAAGCGAGAGACTAGCGGAATTGTTGGCGACGTCGGATACGGCTCAAGCTGCCATTATTAGGAGTTTATTGATGCAATAGGGAAGATGATGAGATGAGATGATAAAAGACAAGACAAAAAGTACCAAGTTTTGAGGTTTTTGCTATGTCTGGTTTTGGTTACGACGTAGTTTTGTGTTTTACAATCAATCTCTCGCTTTGTAAAAGCTCTTATTATTATTACATTATTCATCAATAAAACTCCATTCTCAATCTCACGATGTAGTACGAACAATCAATGTAGCGGAATGAGAAAATGAGAGCTTCTTTTAAGAGCTTGCTTCCTACTCACGCTCAGATCTCAATGCGTCGTGTTGAGAAAGTGTCTGACTTCCAACATATTCTACCGACACAACAATTAATGTCATTAACACTTTATGGCTTTGTGAAGAAAGAAAGGGTTATAGGTGATGATACGGTTCTACAAAGAGCACATACTAGCCACGGAGCTTGGATACGGTTTCTCGATCGGAGATCTACGGATCACAATATCTCCCGAGAAAATAAGTGTTTTTTTAAGAGCTTGCTTCCTAGTCATGCTCCGATCTCAACAGGGTAGGTTGAACAACGGTCTAATTTCCAACATTTTCTACCATCACAACAATTAATGCCATGTACACTTGCTTTGTGAAGAAAGAACGGGGTTGTAGGCGATGACACGGTTCTGCAAAGAGCATAGACTAGTCACGGAGCTTGGATACCGTTTTCGAAATATCTCCCCATAGTCTTTTATCTCTATAATATTTCTCGGGTAAATTTAGGTAAATTAAATTATTGTAAAATTTATTCAGAAAAAAATGAATTAATTGGTAATCTATAATTTAATAATATAACTTGATGGTATACTATATAATATAAATCTAGCGCAGACATTTTTATAATCATTATATTTTATTAACTAATTGTAAAATTATTATAATGGTTTATTGGAAAGCCAAGAAAAATTAAAAAAAATGGAAGGATAAATGGGACCGATCAATTTAGATATTTTCTTTATTAAATAAAATAGTTTAATGGATGGAATTCTTTAATGATTTTTTTAAATCATGATCATTTTTAATTGATTTTAATTCGAGTATTATGTAATTTAATGATAATTAAGCATGCTAATTTAGGAAAATTTATTAACCGCCATTAGCCCAGCCCATCTCACCCCCTACCAGCCCAAAATAAAGCCCACTCATTTATTTGGGCTTTAAGCCCACTCATTTATTTGGGCTTTCAGCCCAATTTCATCAAAAAGGAGAAAGGGTAGTTTAGTCAAACGATAAATATCACTCCCCAAAATTCCTAATTTTGACCCCTCCGTACCTCTCTCCTCGATACTGATTCAAGTTTTTCCTTCACAATTCCAACTCCCTGAAATTTCACGGCATTCAAAGCTCTACAGGGAGGAATTTTAATGCCGGCTTCCGCCAATTAATCAAACCCCTCGGGTATTATTGATCGTGAAGTTCTTTTGATTCTGATGCAGAAATTATAATTTTTTACATTCAATTCTGTTCTATTTCATGCCCAATTCCTCAGATGATCAGCTTCTGGGTATGTCTCGCTTAGCTGATTTCTTTTTTGGACAGAATTGTAAAGTGGGTTTGGAGTGAGAATGGTGTTGGTGTTGGCCTTGGGGGATTTGCATATACCACATAGAGCCCCTGACCTGCCGGAGAAGTTCAAGTCTATGCTTGTTCCTGGCAAGATTCAGCACATCATCTGCACCGGTAACCTTTGTATCAAAGTATGTTCAAATCTTCTTATTGAATTTTCATCTTTCCATGGAAATCCTCAATCCTCAATCCTCAATACTCAATCTGTCCTATCCTAGCTTGATTTTCCCTTACATCATTAATCTCACTGATGATTTTAATTACTTCTGGGTCTGATTTCATCATGATCTTTTCCTTAGAAAGTGTCCTGGATAGTTTTATGTGCATTATTTTTTCTTCTTTTGATATAGTATTCATTTGTTTTTTATTTTCTGCTCACTATATCATATTTAAGCTTATCCCAAGGATCCATCATCCAAGTAAGTAAAGAGGTCATGCTGGTAACATTCTTTTGTTCCGTTAAATTGCATAAGATTTGGAGAAACTTCCCAGGGACAATGCAGTATTCTGTTGTGGTGATTG